TGCAAGATGTGAATGTTTTCCTCCATCTAACGACATGCCCCTACAATAAAGAAAATGTAGAACAAAAAAAGAATGTCTGTTATGTAGTAATTCACCATGCAAATACTGTAAGAGTGTGCAGATGTCCCGTTTGTCAGGGTGATTTATCTGCTAGGTGATTTATCTTGGTGTAGACATTCTCTCACACAGATCCATGGGGAGGAACGGCTCCTAGGTTAGTAGGTGGCAACTGAAGAGTACCACATCCTAGAGTTCACCAGGACTTCCTATCAGAAAGCCCTGCTTTGGATCAAATATTCATGTTGCTCTGTTTCAAACATAAATAAAAAAATGGGAAATAAAACTCATAACTTTTTATTTTTAAGAATTTTAAGTTCTTTCGGAGAAGATATTTGCACTTATATATAAGGCTTGCTTGCTCTTGCAGCTTACACACTCTGAAAATGTTGGCATCACATATAACGGAAATAATGGTCTTAAAGAAATCCAATGCAAGCAAACTAGAAGTGTAACAGATCTTTAAGATATCCTACTGTGTATCAAGAATTGCCTCACTGACTGCTGAGTAAAAGATTATTACAGTGAACAATTCACGCGCCAAATAAACTATCAAATCAGGATGTCATCACAGATATAATTATCAGGAGATAACACTCCTGATATACTTGTCAGTCATAGGTGCTCGTGCTTTTTCTTGCTCTGGCTTGACCAGAAATAATTAACCAAAATCTGATGACTTCTCTAGCCACTCCCAGCCCTCCCATCCTGGTGTACTACTATTTAGATGAGAAGTAGATCCTGAGCCTTCAGTTTGAGCTTCAGTTATCTTGTTGTTATGTATGAGGATATAATGTGGATCCTTGTTTCCACTGCTCACCAAAGCAAATGTTCATCTTGAATTGCATCCTGCTTTTGTGCTAGCTGTTCCTCAGGCTTGCCTATCCTACCACTTTCATTCTGGAGCATGTCAGCAGCCACACTGAGTGATCTGGAAGTCTATTTTTTGGGTGACTACCTCAGAGAAATCAATCACTTTTCATTTAATTTGAATGATCTCGCTGTAAGCATCCCACATGTCCAAAGGCTTGGAGCTCCAATGGGGATGGGTGCACCATGAGACATTACCAAGTAGGCCTGTTTGATTTCCATTTCAATAACAAGGCACTGAATAATGATTTCCTAAGGCCTGCTGTGGAAAACAAAATTGAAAGCATAAACATATGCAGATGGAATTCAGAGCCTGGAACGTCTTTGCCAATTCTTACAACTTATGCATGCTCAAAATATTTACTTAGGAATTCTTAATTAAGTAAACCATTCAGTAGTGGTGTACTGTTTCAGATATGTCACAGTGTCGCCGCAAAATATGCCAGTGGTTCCTCCTCTAACAAAGATCCCATTATAGAACTTGTTATCAGGCTTGGTGGGGTAAGTTTTCAGTACAGTGCACCTAGGTCTAAGCCATGCAGCTCCTCTCATGTTAATGGGATTTGTGTGGATAAATCCTTGCATTCCTCACTGAAAAAGAGCTCCTGCATGCCTGTAAGCTAAGGTGAATATCAGGTAGCGTGGCCACGGCTAACATCAGGGTAATCCTAAACATGCAGCAGGGCTGTCATGGGGCTTGTGGGCAAGTGTACACTGCTCCACTGTGTGGCCAGGAACACGAGCAGGTGGGAATATCAGAGGGGAAGGTATGGCTCTTCAAGTCAGCCAGAGCCTGAAGTAAGGTGTAATTTGCACAGGGAGCAAGGATTAAGAGAGAAAAAGTTAGTGTAGGTTTTTTTTTTAAAATTCAAAAATTAAAATCAATTTGTTTAAGTGTTTTGTCTATATGAAACATGTTTGTAGTTTAATCTTTCTTTCCTATGTTGTCTTTTATTATGTCTTTGTTGGAACCAAATTCTAAGCTCTTTGGAGAAATTTTGGTGCACATTTTTGTGTGTACTGGACCTTGGTGATTAGTCTGTTTATTAATCAAGAAGCAGCTAGCTCTTCTTCATCACTTTGTAAAACTTTGTAAAATTCTTCTAATACCAGTAAAAAATTAGAATTTTCCTCATGTGGATGTACAATTGCCCATTATCAGTACTTATTTCATATTTATATATTTTCCACTTGTGCAAAGATTATAAACCTTTCTGTAAAATATAGGTCAGATGACAACCTTTCTATACAGGACTTTTGTCTGAAGTTGTAAGAATACAGTAATATTTTAAATTAATGTCATGACAAATATGCTGAACTTAAATAAATGCCTGCATTTCTAAAGATAAAATAGAACCTAAAGAAGAAATATAAATGAGAAGTACATTTCCATTCTAATAAGAAAGATTACATTAACTTATATGTTTTATTACCCATGTGATTTTAGGCCTTAATGCTGAATTTCTGACATATTTTCAAGGATCTTTAAGGATTTACTTGGAATGTGTAATAGAATTATATCACAGAATTATAGACTGGCCTGGATTGAAAAGGACCACAATGATCATGCAGTTCCAACCCCCCTGCTATGTGCAGGGTCACCAACCACCAGACCAGGCTGCCCAGAGCCACATCCACCCTGGCCTTGAATGCCTCCAGGGATGGGGCATCCACAACCTCCTTGTGCAACCTGTTCCAGTGTGTCACCACCCTCTGTGTGAAAAATTTCCTCCAAATATCTAACCTAAACCTCCTCTGTCTCAGTTTAAAACCATTCCCCCTTGTTCTATCACTATCTACCCTCATCAACAGATGTACCCACACTCCCTTCAAATATTGGAAGGCCACAGTAAGGTCTCCCCAGAGCTTTCTCTTCCCCAAGCTAAACAAGCCCCGTTCCCTCAACCTTTCCTCATTGGAGAGGTGCTCCAGCCCATCATCTTACTGGCCGCCCTCTGGACCAGCTCCAAGAGCTTCATGTCCTTTCTCTACTGGGGTCCCCAGGCCCAGACACAGTAATCACAAGAGTCAAGTAGAGGGGCACATTCACCTCCTTCTCCCTCCTACCATAGTAATTTTTATGGTTCTGGTTTTTTCTTTTTCCCCTCTAATGTTGTGAAAAGGAAGGCTGTAGTTGTATAGGTCCCTGAAAGAAAACACAATCATAACAAGGAACAGATTTTGAGGGACAATATTCATTGTCACCTGTCTTTGTACAATTTAAGAAGCATTACTTCAGCAAGTACATTGAAATTTTCCTCCCACTGTCATGATTTTTTGCTTATATCCAGATTATAAGAACTGCTATGGACTTATTTCCAAGAATTTGGTGGCCCTGCCTGTGGCAAGCGGGTTTAAGCTTGGTGATCCTTGAGGTCCTCTCCAAGCCAGGCCATTCCATGATTCTATGATTCTATGATTCTATGATGACAAATATGTTATTTCAAGACTGTCATGCAAAAAGCAAGCTTTCTAAGACCCCACTACTCAGGTTTAGTTTGTTGCTAGCTTTGAACTGTAGTGTCCTATCCAAGCCCAGATTAAGAGCAGGGGTATTTAATTTGGATGTGACTCTGTTTATACCTCCATTTCTGTGCTGATGTTTCCCTTGCATTGATGACTAATGATGAAGAACAGTGAAGGCTCTTCATATGTCAGCTGCTACCAGTAACTGCTTAGACGTGCAACATTATTCTGGTAGCATTGTTCAATTGGATAACCTATGTGTATGGTACAACAGCATAACAGCTGAAGCATGCATGGGCTACCTCAGTGTGGTATGGTTACAGTTGCACCAGAAATCTTCACAAAACCCTGCATTCAGGATTTCCTTGTGATAAGAATCAAGGGAGTTTGCACTACTGAGAAATATTAGAAGGGAAAGGATGCCAAAATGTGGTGTGTGGATCTGTCTTTTGACAGTTACAAAGCAAAACATTCTCCATCGAGCGAAACAAATGCAGTCTTCAACCTGCCAAGAGGCAGGAGCATGGCACAATTCTCCCAAATGTGTGACAGATGCACAGACTGAGGGATGCCACAAGAAATAGCAAAGAGGAAGCTTGAAATGCTGCTGGGTGCATTTCTTTAATAAAAATAAAGTTTTCCAAAACCTCAGATTCATGATTCAGCATTTCTTTTGGCACTGAAATTATAGTAGCAATTTAAAACTAGGCTAAAGAAGTTTGAGGGAATGTGCTGGCAAGTTCAGGCCCAAAAGAGGGAAGTCCCTGGAAGTAATAAAAAATGAGAGCCTTTTTGCCCTCCCCCCCAAACATTCTCTGCTCCCCAGTAATTGCAACTTGATCCCTTTAGTCAGGATTGTCTTAAAGCTTTCTACAAGCATGCAGTAATTATTGATATCTTCACAATACCTTCTGTGGCAGATACGATCATGCTTATTTTAAGAATGAATAAGGTGCCCCACTTTGATCAAAGCCTGCTCCAAAACCATTGAGAGACCAAAGAATACATTAAAGAATAAACCTAATTATGAGACAGCAGTGGGGTGAATGGAGGAAGAAAATAAAATCTAAATTATACATGGGGTAGATAGTGTAGACAAATCTTTTTTGCTTTCTTTTGTTTTGAAGTAATAAATTATTGCTGCTCAACTTGAGTTGTTGGTGGAAGCTGTGGGGGCTCAGCACTTTCCAAAAACACAGCTTGATATCATAGCCCAGGGATGAATTTGCAGCACAGGTAGTAAAATAAATAATTCTTTTTTGTAGCTGCATCTTGAGTACTGTGTTCAGTTTTGGGCCTCTCACTACAAGAGGGACATCAAAACTCTGGAGTATGTCCAGAGAAGGACAGCGAAGCTGGTGAGGTGTCTGGAGCACAAGTCTTATGAGTAGAGTGGCTGAAGGAACTGGGGCTGTTTATTGGAGGAGTCTCAGAAGAGACATTATTGCCCTCTACAACTTCCTGAAGGGAGATTGTGACAAGGTGGGAATGAGCCTCTTCTCCCTCATAAGGAGCGATAGGACTACAGGGGTGGCCTCAAGTTGCACCAGAGGAAATCCAAATTGGACATTAGGAAAAATTAGAGTGGACAGGTGCTGGAATGGGCTGCCCAGAGATGTGAAGGAGTTTCCATCCCTGGAGGTGTTCAAGAAATGTATAGATGTTGTACTAAAGGGTATGATTTAGTGGGGAAATATTGATGTTAGGTGGATGGTTGGACTAGAAGACCATGGAGGTTTTTACCAACCTTGGTGATTCTATGATTCTATGATAAATGATCAGAATGGTACTTTCCCTTGTGGTTTTCAGTATCTCCCTATATTCCTATCTAAAGTGGCATTGCAGAGGTCAGAAAATGTTACTACATGAAGTTCATAATATTTTTTGTACATTTTTATTTCTCTTGCATAGTCTTGATTTAAAGGCATCATCATTTTATTTTATTCAGTTGTTCAGTAGAGGTGGGTGAGAAACAAAATCTCAGCTCTAAATCTGCATGAATCCTGGGAAGTCACTGATTCCAGCTGATGCTTTGTTGCTCAGTACTCAAGTACCATGAATGAAAGCTACTGAGTCTGAATGAGAAAGGTCTGAGTGTTCATGTCCCAGACACTGTGAGTTGTCAGATCTGCAACTACATTTTGTTCTTATTTTTTTTAATAGATAGTACCACATGGCATGCATGCTCTATGTTAGCAATACCTTGTCTCCATATCTATAAAGTCACAAGCCATAAATAAAAACTTACAACTGTCAAGTTTCTTAGAGATTTTTAACTTCAGAAGAGATGCACCAATACCATTAAAAGCAGAATGAATCATCATAGAATTTCCATCTCACAGTAAAATTGGTATTTCAATTTGACTAGGGAAGAGTTCTCCATCCTTTTTGCTCTGGCTTTACTGTAGTTTATTGAAATAGCAAAATGAAACACTCTGATTTTGTTTAAATGCAACATTTATGTAATTTTTTGGTTACCTTTGAGATGAAGAGTATAAATTCCTACAAAATGCTTTACTTTTGTTTAGTCAGCATTTTCCAAAAAGACCATATCCATCCAGTGGGAAATTTTTTAATACTGAGAACAGAGGCATAAGTGATTGTTCAAGATGGAGAGGAAAGGAATGGGGAAATTACTCTGTACACTATTACTAACAGGATGGGAAAATGAAACTATCTGTATGGCCCAGTTTTAGGAGGAGAGACGAGGGTTCATTGAGCTACTTCTCTGCAGTTATCAAGAATCAGAGTACTTTCTGCGATTCCTGACAGCCGGTTGGTTTGTGCAGCAGAGCCTGTTTTAAGCTCTGTGATGTCTATACAGCTGATCAAGGATGGGGATCAGAAACAATGCCCACAGGCATCATTTTTGGGGCAGGATGCCTCAAGATCTTCCCTTTTGGTAGTGTGCGTTATTTAGAAGGCATTTTCAAAAGTGCTTCATTGACTTGGACGTTGAAGAGCATTTTCTGAAAATGGACTGAAGCCTTCTAAACTGTGTAGCTGTCATGTAGTCCAGTACAATGTATTGAAAAAGGACTGTTTTGCTAACAGAACTATTCTGCTGGCTTGTCCAGTGCCACTTGAGCACAGGTAGTACTCAGGATAGATGTGTCCTGAGACATCCGTGAATATGTACTCATGTTGTCTCATTTTTCCAAAATATTACTGCTTAAAATGCAGTCTGTGAAGATGTTGAGAAATGAGCCTGGAAAGATGCTGAAAAATAGGCTGAAAAACGAAAAATAAATGTACTAAAGTGAAAACATATGGTAGGTGCAAGTTACATGCACACTTTATAACAAATTCTGAAAATATACTTGAAGAATGGGAACTGCAAATGTTTCTGGTCTGGATGGCACATACCTTAGTATGATCACTTGTATGTGCTCCATGATATTTGCCAGGTCTAAAAGTTCAGTTATGCTAGTGAACTTTCATTAATTGATCAGGAACTTGAGTGTAATAATGAGCAGGAGGGCTGACTGTGTCAATTCATCCTTTAAATTGTGTTCAATAGTTTCACATGAGGAATGCTTGAACTGGCTGTAGCAATTAAAGTGCAGAGCCTGAATCTGTGTAGGCCATTCAAAGCAGACATGAGCTTCAAAGATTCACAGACAATCAATTAGCACTATTTTCTGCTTTTCAGTATGACTTAGTTTCCACTTAGCAGCAGCTGGTGGCACTGCACAGGACTGAAATGAAAAGTGCCAAAATTCCACTTGTGTGGTGCTTCTGGCACAAATCAGATTAGGAATTACTGCAATATTTCCAAATCCATGTGCCAGACCAGAGAGGTTGGGATAAGTCTGTGTAATTATAGGAACACAACCTCCAACCTTTCCTCATTTACTTAGCGCCTTGCCTGCCACACTGCAGCATTCAGCAAAAGCTATGAATCGCCTCTATCTGATTCTAATGTGTCTTTCTGCTTTTCTTCAGAGCTTTGTCATCTGTGGTGGCTTTAGGAGCTAATATCATCTGCAACAAAATCCCAGGCTTGGCCCCTCGGCAGCGAGCAATCTGCCAGAGCCGCCCTGATGCCATCATTGTGATCGGAGAAGGGGCACAAATGGGAATCAATGAGTGCCAGTACCAGTTTCGGTATGGGAGGTGGAACTGCTCTGCGCTGGGAGAGAAAACAGTTTTTGGACAAGAGCTTCGAGTAGGTAAGGGAGTCTCTAATACAGTGCTAAAGCGGTGTACTGGGGCTATTTTTTATCTTTCTCACTATGGTCCTGCAAAAGCTTATCCCCCTCTTGTATTTGCCTGCTGGAGTTCAGCAGTGAAGCTCCCAGAACAAGAGTTGTCTGTATTTTTTCACTGATTGAACAGTAATTTGCAAGAGGCAAAAAAATCCCTAGTGGACTCTAGATGAAGTCATTCACATCTGTGCAACTTCGTACCCAGCAATGACCCAGATCCCTGCTCAGACATCCAAGGACATAGTCATCACACCCTGTGAAAAAATTATTTCCAATTTTTGTCCTGTTAAAGGTTGCCATGATAACGGCAGTGTATGATATAGCCAATCAAAAGGGAAATAAAATGAGCTGCATATAACAGCTCCTCACAGATTAAGTAGAAGGAAAGTCCCAGTTAACTCATGGAAGTATAGCTCATATAACACAGGCCTTCCAATGTAAAGCAATGATACATACCCATTTTAGAGTTGCTATCATATTTTAAAGAAAATACTGCAAATGATTTGAGGCAGGAAACTTATTCAAAGAAAATAATATAGGATCTTGGCCTGACAAACCACTATCTGGCAGAAGCTAAATGATCACTTTCCATTTATCCTATGTCTGATATTATTTCATAGGGAGGAATATGCATATATTTTTTTCCCACCACTGAGATCATTGTTTTCCTCATCATCCAGCTCATTATATTAACCCTCTTCCTGTCCTTACCTCCTTCCCCCAAGGGCTGCCCTCTTATCATGCTGATGGTGCTAAGTGTTGGGTAATGTTTTCCGGTGTGTGTGGCTCTCATGAGGGTGCTCAGAGTGAAAGCATCCAGCTTCCCTTTGGGACTGTATCACATTACTGTTGTGTCACATTCTTCTCTGGGTGACACTTTTTTCTTAAATTCAGTAGTTCAGGTGAACCTGTAATATGAACACGATTAGATGTAAGATCTCTTTAAAACTGCATGAAAAAATGGCATAACATTTCATCTCATCTGTGCAAGGAGGAAAGAACTCACATGGTCCTCCTCAGAGCCATAGATCATGGCTGTTTTTTTTTTCCTTAGCATGCCTATGAAATGAATGCCAAAAGCTGAGATAGACTTAAGTCAATGATAAAACTGAGTAGTTTTTTTTCAAAGAGAATGCAAGTATGGGAAACTGACTGAGGTATGGGTTTTGAAGGGCATGGTGGCAGGGTTATACAGATTTGAAATTAAATAAATACATTGACATAATGAGAACTGACTCACATCATCAGAGAATCACCATATTCTATGATCTTTACTCCATGTAGAAAATACGCCTTGATTAACTTTATTTTCTTAAGGAAACTGTAAGTGGAAGACATTAAACATCCTCAAGGTACAGTGTACAAGAAACAACGTCATATTTGACATTTGCCTTCAATTTTAAATATATCAGAACAGCATCTAGTCACTTGTACTGACTATCAGAGACCTAGGTCTGGTTTTCCTTAGTTGGTCTTATGCTTATTTGTCATAAGTTGATGTCAACAATGATGTTGCCAGAAAATATATAGATGCCATGCATACTATTGTTCTTTATGTTCATTTATCCTGATCTGCAAAATTCTGCAGGAAGAAAAGTCCTCTTAATGTCTGTAAGATCATTTATGTTTTTGGAAAGAGACACGCTGGAGTGTTGTAGCAGAGTCTGTGTCATTGTTAAATTTTCAGTTAAAAAGGTTTTCACAACTTCCGCTCACCTCTTCAAACTGAGTATCTCATGATATCTCACCGGCACCCTCCTTGTATTCATAACTAATAATTTTCACCACTGAGAAAAACCGTGCAAGTGAGCACAGTGAAATACCTAAAGTAGACAACAAATTGTGCTTGTGCTTTCTTTCTGAAATAAGAGGTATAGCAAATAGAAACTGTTTGGCATCAAGATGGACTAGCAATCAGGATATCAACTACACAAAGTTTGAAAAAACAGGGTTTTCTTGAGCCCTATACAGGTCATTTTGCCAAAATGTTCACCAGATTCTTGACCTCTTCACCGAACTTGGGTGGTTTCTTGCAGCTCTGAAATGACTGATGTGGAATTTGGTGGATTCTTTTATGGCTTAACCCAAACACAGACAAAACTTGGCAGTTGCAGCAGAGTTCTGATTTGACATTTGTTGAGTGTGAAACCACACAAACTGTAACGGATGGAGAAGGTTTACATGACCCCTGCCACCTGAGCCAGATGAGTTCCATACAGGTCTATAAAGAGTCCCATAATCCATGTGTCTTTATTTGTTTTATTAGGGAATAGCATCCGGAGACAATGTGGTCATTATCTAGGGAAAGGACAGGATTTAGGAAGTGGTGTTATTACACTAGCAAGGAGTAAAAAGAAAAATAAGAAAAATAATTAAAAAAAAATACTCAGAAGGTTCGAAAGACTTGTAAGCATAAATATCTGCAGGTGTAATAAAACACATCTGTATCTGACACATACACAAACACTAAACCAGATATTTGATTCTGGCTTAGGTAAACTGAAGTGAGGGTTAGGACTAAAAAGTATAGGCATATTATCCACCTGACCCCAAAGGAAATCTCATCTAGCTCCACTGCAGGACCACTTAAGGACAAGAAAAATCAAGACAAATTATTCAAGTCATAGGAAGGAAGGGGAAAGTAAACTATGACAGCAGGATCTGAATTGCTTTAAGGCATCTTTAGCTTACAACCCAGGCCGCTCATGCAGCACGGCCCAGACCATAATTTGGCCATTCCCTGCCCTGTGCTATCATGGTGAATGGCTATTGAACACCCTGGCCCAGCCCTGGGCACACACCCATCACTCAGCAACAGCCGAACATTGGTGTGAGATTGGCACTATCTGGGCTGAAATTAGGGCATGGGGAGGGAGCAGTGCAGTGCTAACTCGAATTATGGCAAATAATTCTATACATTTTTACACATTGGATAAAGACAGTCCTGTGAACAGCAAAAAATGCATAGCCTTGCTTTCTGTTTCGATAAAGGAATTTGAGAACCACTTCGAGGTTGCTGAAAAAATCATCAATTTTTTGGTATATTCGCAATTCCATTTTCAGTTGACATAAATAAATAACCTGCAGATTTTCAAATGGAATGTATATAGTTGCAATCAGATAAGAAGAAAAAATTGATCATGTCTCCTGACTAGACTTTTATAAGCCTCTTTTTGGCAGTATGTACATTTGTAACAACTGTTTTCAAGGGTAAAAGAGAGAAAGAGTAAAATTTTATCAAAAATCTCTGATGAACACTTTGAGAACTCACTAAGAATTGCAGATACTTCCATTGAAACAGACTGATGCATTGGTTTCACAAAAACAAGGCCAAATATTCCACTAGTTTTGTTTTTGTTTCTCTCCTTTCTAATGTTTTAATAAAAATATTAAAGATTAAAATAAGTTTTGTTACTTTTATGCATTTATATATACTTATATAATATTATATAGTTTATGAGAGCTGCTCTGCATATGCTGATCCCAATATCAGAGGCAGATGTTGGTGGGATGGCAGTAGAGGCTGAACTTTCCCACCAATATTCCATTACATGTTGTTGCCATGTGACAGATGGCAGCAGAGGGGCAGTCTGACAGAACGGTGCCTGACATGGAAGCATGTATGAAGCAAAGGTGTGTTACTGAATTCTTCCATGCAGAAAAAATGGCACTCACAGACATTCATTGATTGCTTTGTGAATGTTTGTGGAGATTGAACAGTGGATGTGAGCACAGTGAGGTGACAGGGGTTACATTTCAGCAGTGGTGGTGATAACAGTGGGTCAATTCTGCTTGTGCAGATTTTGAGGAGTGTGGCATGCAGACTCTTGTTCATTGCTGATGAAAACACATAACAAATGGTGCAGACTATGATGAAAAATAGTATTTTGTAGCTGAGAATGTGCTCTATTAAATAGTGTTATTGTAATCATTATAAGTGTTGTAGTTTCCATGGAAACAAATATCAGGCATTACTTTCAGCGTGACCTACATATATGTGGCTCAAGACAATTCCTCTTCACTCAGTGCTGCTAGGCAACCCAAAAAGGTTGGATGCCCATGACCTCTGTAACACATGGGTGTTTATGTTAAAAACAATCTAAATATTTTGTTCAGAGGACAGAATAATGACTGTAGCAACAAAGTTGTGCATGGGGCATTTGTACTTATATGGAAGGTTTACAGTAGGCAGACATAAAAAGTGACAGGAGTATCCAAATCAGTAGCGTGAACAAAAGATGTGGCATGGGGTTAATAAATGAAGCATTGTGTATAGATTTTTTGTTTGTTTGTTTGCTTGTTTGTTTACTTATAGCTGGGAACTTTTACAAGCATGCTACTCCTGAAGAAAATTGTCGCTGCTACACTCAGTTTTACTCATCAAGTCCTTGTATATACTGTCACCTTTCTGCAATCAACCCTAGTTTTCATGCCTGCTCCTCACATTAACTCATCTTTTGCACTCTCCATTCATTCTTTTTATTATAAACCTTGAGATTATCTCTTTCACAAATAGATTCACAAACTAATTGGTTCACAATATATAAATTAGTACTATAAATTTGATAATCATTATTGAAAGATAATTGTTCTAACTTGTTGAAGATAAGGAACCTGGTTTGGAAGCATTTAGTCTCTGGTCCTAAGACCGTAGAGTTATCTTAACTGCCCTAAATGATGTCTGAAGCTATCTATCACATAGGTATCTCTAAAAGTTACGGATTATTAATAAGAGTCGGAAGCAAATAACTCCAAGGAAATAAGTAGCCAGTACAGTCTCTGAAGTAGTGGATGAGAATATGAGAAGTGAAACTTGCTTTCCTTTGAAATAGTATTGTTCCAGCTAATCATTGATCATTTCCACTGGAATTTTCCGAACTGAAGTGCTCATTAAAAAACTGTTATTACAAGTGTTTAATCCAGGGCAAAAATGAGGCACAGAAGATACAAGTGCGTGTAGCTGTCAAGATGGCAAAAGTAATTTATAGATGCCTCCTCTGACAGACTCATGATATAGAAAAGGATCACAATGTAGTATTATTCATCTGGCTGTCTCACACACTGCAGAGTGTCTCAGAGAAAACCATAGAGATATGTATAAAGAAAAAATTAGTACATTAGTCTATCTGAAAGACTCTCTTCTATTTATTTCAGTGGAAATAACAACAGATACAAAGAGCACAATAACATTGTTTGATAGAGCATACCCCCAGGTACAAAACACTATTTTCCAATACACTCATCACCATTAACTGCATATTCACCAGTGATGAACAAGAGCTCTTCATTTCACATCTGACAGCTGTGCACAGCCTTCCAAAATGTAGCCTGTCTTTCACTTTGCTGTCACTGCTGAAACACACTACTCACTGCCTCACTGTGCACATATCCACTTTTTGGTCTCCATAAACATTCAGAAAGCACTGATGAATGTCAGTGGCTGCCATTTTTTTTCTGCATGGAGGAATTCAATGACACACCTTTGTTTATATGCTTCCATGTCAGGCACCGTTCTGTCAGACTGCCCCTCTGCTGCCATCTGTCACATGGCAACAACATGTAATGGAATATTGGTGGGAAGTTTCAGCCTCTGCTGCAATCTTACCACCATCTGCCTCTGATACTGTGGGCCAACATAATAAAATAGCAGGCATTACTTTCGGAGCAGACCTTGTGTTTGAACTGCACATCTCATAGAGAAGAATCAACACATTTACTTATTTAAATATCTGATCTTTTTTTTTTTTTTTTTTGGACCTACAAATTACTGATATATGGAAAGGATGCTTCTAAAGTGAGATTAAGCTGCTTGCTGTGAGAGATTTAAGAGAAGAACACATTTTCAGAAACTTCCATTCACTTTGTGCTTGCTTAAGTTTTACTTCACACTCTAGGCATAAAGTGGGCA